GCAGCCGACTCATTTGCTTCCTCGTAGGGGTCACATGACAGGGGCAAACTCCATCGCTTTTGCGGGGAAATATGTCAAGAGAAGTTTCGCATCCTCTACGAACTGTCTTCTCCTTGACTCGAACGCCTCTTTCCTCTTCTTCTTGGGGTAGCCCCTGAGCTTGACATGGCGGCCAGGCTTTCCTCCAGCTGCCGCTAAACTCCCCGGTCAGAGACAATGGGAGCCCGCTTGCCTAGATCCCCATCGCCTTGACGGTGACGGCCTGGACCAGGTGTACTGCGACGGGTACTTCACAGTGCACGCGTCGCGCCGCATCTTCTCCTCGTGCTGATGAAAATGACAGCATGTCACCGACGGGGGGAAGAGTGGTGCCTGTCAGGTCCATGGGGGGCGTGTCCAGAACAGGCGTGGACCGAGATGCTCCTCCGCGTCTTGGTCATGGTGAAAAACTTCAGAAAACTACGCCCGCTGCGAGTGTGCATGCCCCTAGTCAGCTGACGAATGAATGGGCCAAACAAAAAACACAGCCCCTGCCGCCGCCCGCCCCCCGCCGGCGGGGCCCGGCGGCCGGAGCGGAGCCGACCGAGCTGGCAGCTACAGGGTGCCTCCCCCTTCACCCCCTGGCCTAGCGGCGCGCGCGCCGTTGGGTTTTCAGCCGAGTTTGAGTGGAGCGCTGCACCCCCCTCCCTCCCTCCCCAGCGCTTCCCGGCCTCCACCCAGGCGCTGCGCTGTGTTCTCTCAGCCCAAAAGCAACTTTTTACAAACAAAAGACAGGTCACCGGGTCAGTAGGGTGTCACAATCGTCGGCAATCTGCGAAAACAACGTATTTTTTTAGCGATTTTTCATTAAAAAATCGCTAAAATTGAGGTTTGGAGACCACATGGGTGCGGTCGCACACCCCCTCATGTGTCAAACTGTTGCATTTGGGACCAGGGAAGCCCATTCAGCCGCCAAACCCATCCCCGAACAGCCGATCGCCTTTTGGGGGTACCAACATAAATTTACTGCAAAAAAACCCCCTATTTTTTTATAAAACGGCCGGTAGGGTGATCAAGATTATGTCCCAAACGAAAAACCCAGGTCATTTCTGGAATCAGCGCAAAAATTTCCCAATCTTTTGAGAGTTGTCGGGAAGCCAAAATCGAAAAAGCGTGCATATCGACGGCCCCTATTAATCATCCATGTTTGATTCATCTTCATCTCTTTACTTCTTCTCCTCGTCACTGTCCTACTCTGCAGCTAAAACAAAATATGAGGCGTTGAGAATACTCACTTAAATCAAAATGAAGCTTGCGAGCTCCATTTGGGGAAGTTTATGGTTAATGGGGATCTTTTAATTCGAAACTGAGCTTTATTTACCTCTTTGAATAAATAGGAAATGTCTTTTTGATCAGCTTTTACTAACGCAGCAGCTGTTTTTCTCTCGTAGTTCACTTCATGAAACTTGATATTTTTCTGCAGAGAAATTTTTGACGATGTATTTCATGCAGGACAAGGTCACAGTAAAATGGTCAGGTAGTCATTTTCAAACAAAATTCGATAAAAACCCGCTAAATAGAGCCTACGCTCTCATCCCAGGAACGGACATCACGTTCAAAAGAATGTTATAAATATCACGTTCGTTTGACCATTGTGTCTCATTCGTTTGGACGCGAATCAGCCATAATTCAGCTTATTCCGTTGAAACGAATGTGACACAAAGGGCAAACGAATGAGACATTTTTACAATGTGGCATTTTTTCACATTCGTTTCAACGTTCCTAGGATGAAAGTGTAACCGAATGATATGACAGTCACTTAATGTTCTACCTGAGATATTTACACATTAAATACACTGAAAATGGCCAAAAACTGACTTGTGCGATTGCTTCCATACGCGTTGTTCTACGTTGTTGAAACTTTGTTTGTGTCATGACCTTACGAATAGATGCATTTTGAGCCCCGAACGGCGTCGATCGGACGTTAGGGAGGGGAGCAGCTGCCAATTAAATTTTCGTCAAATATGGAACTGGTTCCTCAGTCCGCAAAAATGGAGATATCTCAACGCCGTTTGCCCCAAAATGTAGGTAATTGAAGCGCCCACCGCGTGAACTACAACCATGAACATCAAGCTATCGAAAATACAAAATTTCATCCAAAAACAATTTTTGAGGATTTTGCAGAAACGCTCCGCAAACTCAACAGTGTACTCAGATGAGTACACTCTAACTAGCGTGTACTCAGATGAGTACACTCTAACTAGCGTGTACTCAGATGAGTACACTCTAACTAGCGTGTACTCAGATGAGTACACTCTAACTAGCGTGTACTCAGATGAGCACACTCTAACTAGCGTGTACTCAGATGAGTACACTCTAACTAGCGTGTACTCAGATGAGTACACTCTAACTAGCGTGTACTCAGATGAGTACACTCTAACTAGCGTGTACTCAGATGAGTACACTCTGTAACTAGCGTGTTCTCAGATGAGTACACTCTAACTAGCGTGTACTCAGATGAGTACACACTTTCAGCTGCATAAATTCCCAGGCGTGCTTAGGTGTGTACTCATCTGAGTACACGCTAGTAAGAGTGTACTCATGAGCACACTCTAACTAGAGAACAGGTTTCTTTTCGTAAAATTTTGTACTTTCGATAGCTTGATGTTCATGGTTGTAGTTCATGCGATAGCCGCTTCAATTACCTACATTTTGGCGCCAACGGAGTTGAGATATCTTCATTTTTACGGACTGAGGGACTCCCACCAGTTCGATTTTAGGCGAAAATTTGATTATCAGCTGCTCCCCTCCCTGACGTCCGACCGACGCCGTTCTGGGCTCAAAAGGCTTCTTTTTGTAAGGTCGTAACACGTGAAAAGTTTTAACAACGTAGAACTACGCGTATGGAATCAATCGCAAGTCAATTGTTGGCCATTTTCTGTGTATTGCCCCCTTAAATACAATACAATGAAACGGACCTGTATCAACAAGTGGTTAACTAGTTGTCTGTTGTCAAATAGAACAGCTAAATGTAGTGGGGTCGATCCAGCAGTGTCATTTTTCTTATTAACATTGGCTCCTGCTCTTATGAGCATCTCTGCACTTTCAACGCTGTTGCACCGCACTGCCAAATGAAGAGCTGCATCACCTTAAGAGAAAAATAATGTTTGTGAATGGTTTCTACGCCATCAACTTAATTTCATCTCTTTCTTTTGCATACCTTCAAAACTTTTCTTGTCAAGTTCTCTGTCCTCAACTTTAAGTAGTGTTTCTAAGCAATCTGTATGGTCTCTCTTTGCTGCAATGTGGTAGGGTGTGTTCCCTTCCTTGTCTGCTAAATTAACATTTGCCCCTGCTGAGCAAAGAAGCTTGACACATTGAAAGTTATTTCGCCGAACAGCAATATTGAGGGGTGTCTAAAAAAGATGGTGCATAAAAGTGAGAGGTGAACCAGGGAGAATTAACGGTCTCCGGACCGTCTGAAGCCATGCTCCCCGAAACTGCGAAGGTTTTGAACTTCTTCAAGACTATGCCGACTCGCTATTAGTAAATCGCTTTGCACAGATCGAAAAAGCATAATATATCAATTCCTTTGGGCCATTGGCTTTCCCCCGAACAAGAGAGGAAATGTTTTCACACAGATAGTGCAACCGAGGTTTTTCTTGGTTTTTCTTCAAATGTATCGTTTAATGCATTTTTAGGTGTTTTTACTTCGATTTATTGTGAGCTGAGGTGACAGTCGCGGCAGAGGCAACTAGTGTAAGAGACGCTTCATATGATGCTCTTTCGATCTGTGCAAAGCGTTTTCAAATACCGGTTTAGTTTCAGTAATCCCGAACCAAGTTCGTCCCCACTATCAATGCGGGGAGCATGGCTTCGCGAGCTCCCGAGGCCGTTGCCGCCCCATGGGTGAACCCAGAAGTTAAGTTCCATATGCAAACTCTCACCTGCCCTTGTTCATTTCTCCCATTTATCAATTTCAACTTTTCCGTCTCTGTCATGCGTTTTAAAATTTTTTGCAATTCCCCTGCATCGCCAGTCTTTGCAACTTCGAAAAGGCTGGGGATCGCATCACTGTTGAAAAAAATTTGAAAATTCAGACTGATTTCGTCTTACTTGGTGGTCTGAATCGTAAATTCATAAAATGGTACGAATATTAAGACCAACTGTCTGAAAAGTTTGACCTGTTGTCTGAAATTTGAATTTAGACTAGCAAGTCTGAATATTAAGAGCGATGGCTATCAAGTTTTGTACATTGTCGTCCGAAAACTAAATTCATACTTGTGAAATCGGAAAAGGAGTGAAAAAACCCCGTCCCCTTTGTACATTTTTCGATTTTCTCAGAACTTTTATCAATACTACTGTTGTATTTCAAGTAATATTTACGTTTAGTGTCGTAAAAGCATAGAGAATGTTTCAGAGCTCCGAAAGGGACACTTATTGCTCTATCCGCTAGGTGGCGCTAGTGACGCATGGATGATCTTGTGGAGCTAAAATTGCCTCTTGAAGGTGAAATCGCGAGTATTTTGTTACAAACTTATTCCAAGTGATTGTCTGAAAGGGCATGAGCGCACCAAAGCAAGATTCAGGTTAATAAGTGCAGTATAAGCTAAATAACAAAGAATACAATTTCACTCTCGCGCATGGCCACGGGTCGGCGCGTGGTTGGGCTAAGGCCGCTCTCCCTCGCAATTCAGCAGTCACCTCTAGCCTCTTCACTACCTTTGCAAGTAGGAGTCTATTGCCGTGTGCCTTATTTTTGAGCCGAGACGATCCGCTGAGCGTCTACGACAAACCGATGGCAAAAGTTCGCCGATTTGAGCTCTACTCTACAGAGTGGCATTTTTTAGTGCGACTGTTCAATGTCTTCGTACAACTTAGTCTGATAAAATAGACCGACTGGTATCATTTTTCATACAACATGTTGATCTGAAAATTCAGACTAACGTCGTCTGAAACTTTCAGACCGCGAAGTATGAAAGTTTTGGTATGAAAATTCAGACTGAATGTAAGTAAATCGACTTCTTACAAAAAATTATGAATTTTCAGTAATTTTTTTTAACAGTGATGTTTTGCAGCGGCAGATGAGCAGCTCTGGGAATCACACCAAAAATCGTAATACCTTCACTGAAGATGAGATTATCTGCAAGTACTCTACAAACTGAAGTGTGTACTCAGTATGCGTCTGTCTGGAGACGCATACTCACAAGTACACATCTACAGATGCATTCTCAGCTGAGTACACATCTGCGGATGCATACTAGGGTGAGTTAGGTATTCATTTGTAGGTGTGTACTCAGCCAAGTATGCATCTGTAGACGTGTACTCAGCTGAGTATGCATCTGTAGATGTGCACTGATATAAGTATGCATCTGTAGGTGTGTACTTGCAAGTTTGCGTCGACGGACGCATACTGAGTACACACTTCAGTTTGTAAAGTAGCTGTTTTGGGTAAGGTTCTGTACCTTGTCTTTGGCAAGTTCCGATGGGCTGATCCAACACCATAAGATGAGATAAGCGATCCATAATAAGAATCCTATCCGGTAAGACAATTCGCGAAAAAATGGGACAAAAAAGAAAACAGCTTTACTGTTCGCACCAACATTGTAAAAACCTTGAAGAAAAAGAAAACCAAGATTGATCAGGTTGATTTAAGATCATTCCATGGCAGTTCATCCGGGACCCCAATTTTGATGTCTCGGATTTTGACGAAACTTTGTGTCTGTGTTCCCTATGTAGCAAATAGCTTCAAAAATTTGTTTGTTGCCCGAAAGTGACCTACCCGGTGGATTCCCTTTCTTTTCATCATACTGAAAAAAAAAGTCTCCGAGAGCCCCTTCTTAAGTTATTCGTTTCGGGACATATAGCTCGAAAAATTCGCTTTTCGCAAATACCCACGCACAGCATGCATCATACTACATGCCCGTCCCTCCGTCATTTTGTTTTTACAAAAAAATAAACGGGACGGGCCAAAAAATTTTCATCGAGAAACTCGGATGCATTTTTTGGGTATTCACGAAAAACGATTTTTTTAGCTATATCTCCCGAAAAAAATCACTTGTGAAGTGGCTCTTGGGGACTTTTTTCAGTGTGATGAAAAAAAAGGAAATCCACCAGGTGGGTGCGTCACCCTCGGGCAACAAAACTAAGTTTTGGTGAATGTTTCAGGGTTTTTCACAAACTGCGTGTTAAAAAAATTTTAGGACGACCAAAAAAGTTGATTTTTTTTTGCAGAAGCTCTTTGCTGCATAGGGAACACACCCACAAAGTTTCGTCAAAATCCTAGGCATCAAAATTGTGATAACGAATGAACTGGCATGAAATGCCCCTAAGGCGCTCAAAGGTTTATGAGTCAGATGTTTTTTATCACGAACCTGGAAAATCACTTAGATTAATGTCATCTAAATAGTGCGCATTCTGTGATGAGCTCCTTTCTTCAACTGGGGGCCTTTGCAGATTGGGAGCTAGTAGCAAAACAGGAAGATGTAGGGGTCTTATCCACATATTTTACTTTATCTTCAATTTGTTCCAGGAAGCGAAGTGAATAACTGTATTTTGGTCATTTTTCCGGAGAAAGAAAAAACGTGTAGCAGGGAAAACTAAAACTAAACGATTGGATGTCATAGATCACAACAAGTTCAAGAATCATGAGAAAAATTTTGAGATAAACATCGAAAGTGTCGAGTCGCTCCGTGCAGGATTTCTGTGACTTATCACTTTCGTTAAAATCGAAAACAGAGTCATCTCAACTTATATTTCCTACACGAAGTGAAATTGGGAGACAAGTCGCGTGGAACTTTAGTCAGAATAAATAAGTATTTGTTACTTTTGGACTTGTCTCTTTTCTTCCACTGAAGTGATTAAAATGAAAAAAAAAAAAAAAATAAGTTGATCTAATTCTGTTTTACAACAGATTCATTAAAACTCGAGTTATCTCCTATTTACAATATTTTTAACGGAATCATGACTTTAAGACTGAGCTCTTTCCATTTTCCCCAAAATTGAGAGCGTAAAGGGGTCAAATTGATTCATGTCCTTCTTCTATGTGTATTTTCTCCTTAACTGCTAGGAATTGAACGGAATTGAGTCAAATAATCGGGGTAGTATTGTAAATCATTCTACGGTACTATAAAAGAATATAAACTCAATTTGAAGGAAAGGCAAGTCAAGTTATTCACTTCTTCCGCTTCCTGGATCGTTTATGATGTCCTCTTTGCTTTTTTCTATTAGGAATAAATCTTTGTACTAGGGGATGGTAAAATGGTAAAAAGGCATGGAGAATCTAATGGTGATGTCCATTTTCATGCCAGGGTGACCAATATCTAAGAATAGAAGGCTGAAAAAACATGAAAAAATTCGAAATTTCGCTTTACCCCCCCCTTAATTATGAGGTTCATTATGGTGAGTTCCCAAAACAAAATTCAATCCAAAATGTTGAACGGTCTCTGAGAAAAGTGGCTTTTTAGTGTTTTTTGGAGCGTTGGGGAAAAATCTTCCTGCGTCTTTCATTGGGACGGAAAGTCTTGAAAATTTTTTTGGGTTATCCTAAAGATGTATTGAAGATATTTTAGTGACGGAATTTTCAAATTCAACTTCTGTCCTGAGATATGAGTTTTCAAATTTTAATATTAGAAAAAAATTGATTTTTTTCCCTTTTTTCACACTTTTAGGTGTGTTTAAAAAAAAGTAGGGGTGATATCAAGATTCCGTCACTAAAATTTGTCGACAAGTCATCAATGAATAGAGTCCATGCAAGACGGCTCATGTAGGTGTCAACCAGGAACGCAGGAAGTCTTTCTACGACAACATTTTTTGTCGACTGAGCAAAGCTGTGAAGTTGAGCGTAGAAGCCAACGACAACTGATCTCAATGTTATTTCCTTCCAAATGATAAAGAAACTACCCAATTAGCTTAAAGGTGTTCAACCTGTTGAATCTGAAACCTTCTATGCACATTTTTATCTATTAACTTTGAAAATACTATTTTTTGGAATTTTGGCGATTTTTTCACCAGGGTCCCCCCTTAAATAAATTACAAAAAAGTTCTGAGAAGAACGCGAGAAGAAAAAAGTAAGTACGCAAAACTCGTGAGAATGAGTGTACTGTTGCAAAAGTACGGCTTTTGTCCTTCTTGATCTCTTCTTAACTTCCGTCTCCGCTCTTCTCTAAAGTCAAAAGTACCCTACTCAGTCCTGAAATTGTGTTCGCTTTGATGTGAAGGCAAGGTCGGCACTGCCGCGCTGGCGCTGTGGGCCACACCCAACACGACCTCTTACGACGACATCCAGGCGGCCGAGCGCACCAACCTGTTCATGCTGGGCCTCATGTACCACCCCGTGGTCTTCGGCGACTACCCTCCTGCCGTGAGGGAGCGCGTCGACCACTACAGCCGCCTGGAGGGCCGCAACGAGTCCAGGCTGCCGCACTTCACCGCCGTGGAAAGGAAACATCTGATCGGTACGCATGCCATGCTTCTTTTGAAGTTTCTGTAACACTACAAACCTGACTGTCTACTTAGCACACTCACTGTTATCCAAGTTGCGATACTTTTACCTCAAAAACGTGTGACTATATTCAAAATGTGATCCCCACGAATCGTTGCTCCTCAGCAATGTTTTTGTATCAAAAAATTCTGCAATGATCTTAGTAGATTTCTGCTGTGAATATCGGAATTATTGCAAGAAACAGCGATTTGGACAACAGAAAAATGCCATCCAATTAGGCCTAAATCATTTCAGTTTTTTGCGAATGATCACAGCCAAATTCTGTGATATCTGCCCTAATTATTGATTTGAATAACCTCAGATACGAAATTTTAGGCTCTTAAGTTATGATTTATGAAGCCAAACTGAGCATAGAATAGAAAATTGGTCTGGGCCCTGTACGTTTCAGTTGCGAGGAGCTGAGGCTCTTGCAAACATTTTTTGTTCATTGCAAGGAGATTTTGGAGACAAAATTTTGTCGTAGTCCTCTATGCAACGAGGAGGAATCATACAGAAAATGGGATTTTAACTTGACAGTAATCTTAAAACTCGATCTGTCGCGTCGTGAACGCAGCAAGAGAGTCACTGAAAAGTGTGTCCTGAGTACACACATAGCGAGCATAAGTGATCCTGAGTACACACACAGGTTCCAGGTATTGTTTCTAAAAAGACAAAAGACACAACACATCTTTGCTTCTAGGTTCCACCGACTTCCTCTGCTTCAACGCGTACATGGGCAACATTGTAGCGGACAGCACTTACGAACCGCACCCCGCTGCCGGCACCATGGCGACCGACCGCGACTCTGTGGAGGTCGGCACCGACAGCACCCCGGGAAACTTCGGGGGCCAGTTCATGAGGGTGAGGGAAGAAAGAAATGTTAACTACATTGGTAAAACTAAAGCGTAAGTCTAGGCCCCTGTCACCCAACTAGACCGTGGCAAGAAGTTCGGAAAACTCTGTAAACAACTTGTGACAAATATCCGTACCCACACTGCGAAAACCTTTTTAACTATTTTAGGCCTTACAAAGAAAAGCAATACTTCGTGATTTACGAACTACTTCTTCATATAACAAAGTAAATTAGTTTGTAATGTATGTTTATAAGGTTGTAAGCGTTCAGAACCCAACATTTTCCGTAGCCGTCTTGTTCGTGTTCTCCATAGGGGTTACAAGCCTTCTGAGTGCTCCTCATTGGTCTCCTGTATGTGGAGAAAACTGTAAGTAGTATGGAGAACACCAAGTCGTTCGGAGGATGGATGTTGATAGGAAGCTGTGGAAAATGTTGGGTTTTGACTACAAGAATTTTGGCAAAAAATAACTGACTTCTTCGTGGTCTTTTGCCATGGTGTACGCTTGAAGATCTTACGTCGCCTTCTTGAAGCGTACGCGTCGAGGCATATCCCCCGTGCATTTGCAGATAGGAGGAAAGGACCCCTTGTGCGCTTCACAAAAGCGCCATTTTACGCCTTACTTTTAGCAGTGTAGTTAGAAATCACCTCTGAAGTCATTTGTAGCCCATCCTCACCTTTTCCAAACTCATATCAACGCAATTTTTTTTTACAACTTTCGTAATTTGTTCTGGGGATTCTATCCAGGCTGATCCCAAGGTGCTTCGCGAGGCGCCACTCTGGATCCACCGAAACTACAAGATGCCAATCATGATCACCGAGAACGGCTGGGCCGACCAGAGAGGTGGCACTGGTGACAACGACCCTCGGCACGACAGCCCGAGGGCGCCCTATCACAGTGTAAGATCGAGCGTGGAACTCGTTGCACAAAAGTCGAGAAAACCGAGGGGCCGACAACTTGAATTTTGGTGTACATTTTCTGTGAAAAAACGTGAAATAACGGTGAAGTGACGCGAAATATCGTGAAATAACGCGAAATTACGTGAAATAGCGCGAAATTACGTGAAATAACGTTGAAATAACAATGAAATGACGTGAATTTGAAATAACGGTTTACAACTTTCGACGAAGTTGTTTGCCCCTCGCTCTTATATTACCTCGTACGCGGTGGCTACCTGCATATTTCCTGTACATTACCATGCACCCCTATATTACACATACATTATTTATATTACTTGTAATTTACGCACTGAAAATGTATCGGCGTGACTTCGTGCCGCTGCAGGGGCCTGAATTAAGTGTCACGCCATTAAACGGCATGACAGAAAAGTCACGCCAAAAATCGGCGTGACTCAAAAATTCACGCCAAAAATTGGCGTGAATTTCTTGTCATGCCACTTTTTGGCGTGACTTGTCTCATAAAACGCGTTGTCATTCACGCCAAGTGAGGGTGTGACTCACATGTCACGCCGTTTTTCGGCGTGAATTTCGTGTCTCGCCAATTTTTGGCGTGACTTTTTGTCACGCCATAATTTGGCTATGTGTCCGACCATTACTTTTTCAGTGCGTGTACTACTTTTCTTACATGGCTAAGGGGAGTTGTCGACCCCTCGGAGAAAACTTTTAGTCTCAACGTTCAGCTTCCACTTCGTGACACCTCAAAAAGACGAGAAAAATCTTGCGGACAATTTGTCCATAATACACTGAATTTGGTTCAAATCGTAGGTAGTACGAAATTGTTTATCTTCCGAATCCTTCACTGAGATTCCAAACGCTAGGTGCAGTGTGCGCATGAAGTGCAAGTGCAATGCCTTCCCGTGCACTTGCATAGGGCATTTTCGGGATGCATTGCACGTAAGGTGCAACATAGCTATCGTGGCATTGCACTATACGTGCTATGTTCATAGCGTTTGGAATCCCAGTGTCTTTTCTTTGTAGTTTAGCGCGAAGATTGCCGTATTTTACGGAGTGTTGAATGAAAAACCAAACGTGATCCATTACACACTACCAACTGATGAGATAAATTGAGTGCCACTTTGCCCGCATCAAATGATGTGGTCAGTGCACTCCACATCACAAACCCGGTCTAGCGTATAAAGCTCCAACCGCTTGACATGGCGCAAACGTGGTCTGCCTAACACTGGTGGTGTGGAGACGACAGAGGGCGCGTTTTCCTGTGCGGACAGCCAACACCGCGTTTGGTAATGCGATGGAAATCTTTGACCGTGTAAAGAAAACTTCGTTTTGGTTTTGAGTGTTTTGGGAACACAGTCTGAAGGAAACGTTATCTCATGTTTATGTCATCTGAACGTGACACAGCCCTTTTAGTAAAATGTCACATTCGTTGAGACGTGTTTCGAATTTCAAACGAATGTGGCGTCATATTCAAACGAACGTGTCAAAATTCTCATTCTGACGACGTCACATTCTTCGTAAACACAGAAAATAAAGGCATTGTGGAATTCACTGTTAAAAAATGGTTGTATAGAAACAATCAGATGAGTGAAAATTTGATCCAGGAAGCGGAAGAAGGGAATAACTTGACTTATCCCCAAATTGAGTTTTTATTTTATTATTGTGCCTTAGAATGGTTTACATCATTACACCAAATTATTTGACTGTATTCCAAGCAGTTTAGGAGAAAATCCACATGGAAAAAGGGTATAACTCAACTTAACCCCTTTTACAGTCTAAATTTCATTGGAAAATGGAGATAACTCAACCTTAGTCTACATGAGTCCGTTTGACAAATTGGCAAAAGGATATAACTCAACTTGTGTTTTTATGAATCTAGTGTAAAAAGAATCAACTCAACTTAACCCCCCCTTAATTTTAAATTTCAATTTGGAAAAAAGAGCTAAGTCCAAAAAATACACCAGAGTAACATACACTTTATGCAGACTATAGTTCCACTTGACTTGTCTCCAAATTCCACTTCGTTTAGGAAATATAAGGTGAGCTGACTCTCTTTTCCATTTCAACGGAAAGTGATAAGTCGCAGAAATCCTCTACGAAGTGACCTTCCACTTTTGATTTTTTTCCAAAATTTTTCTAATGCTTTTTGAAATTATTAACATCTGCAACATTCATTTGTTTTGTTTTAGTTTTCCCTGCTAACAGTTTTTTGTTTCTCCTGAAAAGTGGCCAAAATTGAGTTATCCCCTTCTTCCGCTTCCTGGATCATTTAGTCGTTCCAAAACAAAGAATTATATCATGAACCAAAGCGAAAGAAATGTCGCTGAATCTTGTAAGCGACAATTTGTCGTTGAAGAACAAAATTCTTGTTATCACCCTTAACGATACTATTTGTGTGGAAACAAAATCTTTTGCAATTATCTGCTCAATTAAAGCATATTATTAATAATCATCTATTGGTCTTCTTTAGTCAGCAACATGACTATTATTCAAAAAAGAATTAGGCAAAATAAATTTAGCGACAAAAGTACTCCATGAATACTTGTCCCAGACATTACAAAATCTTTTTTGACTTAGAAGACTTGTCGTTGACCAACAACATTTGTTGTTGGTCAACGACTTGTATTTGAAAGTAGACTGCTAATGTGTTATTACAAGTTAGTCGTTGTGAAATTATCCTTTAGTTCCAGTATGAGTTTGGTTTAACAAGCTATTCGTTCCACAGCAAATCTTGTCGCTAAAAAAATTAGCGATAAATGTGTCGCTAAGTTACAACAAAATTTTTGTCAGTGAATCTCTTTGCATTAACGGAAAAATGCGTGATATTACGAAGTTTTTTGCTTCTTGATTCAAAGAGCATTTTACAATTTTACAATGCCATCGTTTTCTTCGTGCTTTTGAACGGCACTTCGTGTACTTTTTTCCATGCGCATTGACTTAATAAAATGGCTTAATTACAGGTCTATCTGCAAGAGCTGCTGCGCGTCCAGAGGGAAGACGGCGTCGATGTGTTGGGCTACATGGTGTGGAGCCTTTTGGACAGTTTCGAGTGGTCGGCAGGTTTCAGGTAAACGGACTCTTCTTTTTTTTTCTCTCCCTAGTTTCAGTGTTGTTGATCAAACGTGTGCCACTCGAGTTCGGTGTGACTTTTAGTCACATCTATCTAAACCAATACACTCTAAATGTTCTACAGTGAAAATTCTCCATATTATGGTGAAAATGTTCCATACTATGGTGGTGCAGCTGACTTCGTAGCATACAATTGAGAATTCACTGTACCTTATAGAGATTTTGACGAATTTCGCTGATATTATGGAAAATCTCCACCATATTATGTTGGTGCAGCCTTTCACCGTAAGACATTTACTGTGTACACTACTGGTCGACTGAAGCGTCCTTTTGTGCCTTTCTTGAAGCTTAGTGCGTGGTTGCTGCTTGGCTCCAAGCGTACTGGGTAGAAACGGAACCTGGTTTTCCCAGAAAGCCAACGGTGAAGGCATACGCGATTTCGAGGGAGTTCCAGGGAAGACCAGAAACTGTTTTTACCGTGTACACTCTCATCTCAGGAACTCGAGCTCACGTTCAGACGATTGTGAAAAGATGTCCCGTTCCTTTGAGCATTATGCCACATTCGTCTGAATGTACTTAAATAAGCTCATTTAAGGCTGATTCACACCTAACCGAATATGCCACATTCGTCTGAATGTACTTAAATAAGCTCATTTAAGGGTGATTCACACCTAACCGAATGTGACTTGTGTGTCACATTCGTTAAACGAGATGTCACGTTCCTGGAATGACATTGTAATTTCTGAATTGTTGCTCTCTCGCCTATCTTAATGCATGGGAGAATTTCTTATCTGCATTCAACTTCAAGCTTTACAAGCGAAGTTGTATGCTTCAGTTTTACCACAGTAACGAGCGAATCAATCCGTCGCGTGATCAAGGAGCTTTCTACTAATTGTTTTGCTTTGCAGCCGCAAGTTCGGGCTGGTGTACGTGGACTACGAGACCGGCAGCCTAAACCGCACGCTCAAAGATTCTTCGTGGTTCTTCCAGTACATGGGCGAGAACCGAAAGGTCCCTGTTCTCGAATTTAATTTCGACTTCAGTTCAGGCGCGACCAGGACCTTGTCTGCTCTCACCTTCGCCGTGATCGCCGCTGCCACAGTGCTGTGGTGGGCCTAATGCCTTTTTTATAATTTTTTTTTACATAATGAAATAATAAAACCTGTGAACGGAGCTCTAGCCTCATTCTGCGAATAACAGGGTGATTCCGAGTCGATTCAACACAATTCTAAATGCCCGTGGCCCGGATTCAGATCCATCTGTCCAGTCTAGTCTAGTGGTTCGTCACACTCCACATAACTTTAAAAAAATCACAAACACTGTTAAGAGAAGTCGTTATTTTACAACAGTAATCCCAACAATTAGTGTTGTAATTTTACAAATAATAATTCGTAAAATAACAACAAGATTCATGAAATGAGCAATTGTCATATTTTCGACAAACTTTACTCATAAATTTAGGAATAAATTCGAAATTTTACGATGAAATCTTAATGTTACTGACGAAAGATCGTAGTTTTACTGATAAAATCATTATCTTACGACTATTCTCGTTTTATTACGCGTAAACTTGTTTTCTTACAAATCGAGCTTTATTTTTATGAATAGTTGCCTGTTAAATCTGTACCACGAACTGCATGTTTTTTTACAAAGTAAATTGTAAATTGACAAATTGTTCATCATTTTACAAACTGTTTCTTAAATTTACAGGTGAAATCGTTAATTTACAAGCATGATTGTAAAACCAAGTCTGAAAAAATGCGTTTTCGCCCGTTGTTTCCTTACTATACAGGAAGAAAAATTGTCTGAAACGACCAAAATTTGAGGATTAAGTTTGTAAGTTTAAGAATAGTTTTGTAAATTGACGATAAAAAGATGGATGATCAGATCGTTTTTTAAATTTACGAGCAGTTCGTGGTACAGATTTAACAGACAATTAATCGTAATTTCACAAAATAATCCCGAACAGTGAAAGAGCTAAAAGATTTTCAAAGGGGGTTAAGACAGCCCAAGGATGGGTGCCAAGACGAGACTGATCCTTAATGATCTTTCAGAATAGTGCAGATTGCTACGAAGTCGAGAACACGCGCAGTAAAAATATGTGGAGTAAAATTCGATAGTTTTTGATGATGCCATTAATCATGGTTGTTGATGACAACGTAAATGATTTAGAATCAGTAGTATTCAATACAGATTTCTTTCGAAAAAGTAATTTAGGGTTGAAAAGGGGGTTTAAAAAGGCGATATGACGGTGCAGAGACGAGAAAACCGCCTCAGCATCTCTGATAGAGCAAAATCAACTAAGACGGACCACTTCTTCCGGTGACCCTCTCCGATTTGCCTGACTTTTTGTAGGCTTAATAATTAACTTAAGGAGAGTCTAAAGCCAAAATATTAGGTCCGGCAAAAATTTATTGCCCGAGATATGGCCAACTTCAGTTTAACTTTTGGAGAAAAAACACGAATTTGGGTATTTTGGACTAATTTTACACTTTTCACAGTAGAGGGCTAAAATTTGGTCACTTTATGTTAAATTGGCCAAGGAACAAGAATATGACCTCAGATTTGACCTCTGACGAATACCGGAAGAGTAAACCACCCAAAACACCCTAAAAACACATAAAAAAACAGTTTTTTCTTGGGGTTTCTGGGAAAAATATGTGGACAAAATTTTTTGATGATCTTATCTTGTAGAAAATGGCGCGATGAATCGAATGAGACCACGCGCAGATTTTTATGCCAAACCGTTTAAGAGATATGGCGGTTCAAAGTATAAAAATTGTGCCATTAATTTTTAAAAAAATATAGGTTTGGAGCATTGTTTGACGGTTTTTGCCTCCTTGGTGTGTGTGGGTGTTCTTATCTTGTGGTAAAAGACGCGCTGAATCGAATGAGACCACGCACAGACCTGTATCTCAAACCGTTTAGGAGATATAGCGGTTCAAAGTATGGGCACTGTAGTCCGCCCGCCAAACAGACGTGTTTGGCGGGCCTGCCTTGTCGGGTGTTTCAGGAGCTCTCCCGTGCCCATACTTCAAACCACTATATCTCGTAAACGGTTCGAGATACAACTCTGTGCGTAGTCTCATTCGATTCAGCGCGTCTTTTTCCACAAGATAGGAACACCCACACTCACCAAGGAGGCAAAAACCGTCAAACAATGCTCCAAACCTACATTTTTTAAAAAATTAATGGCAAAATTTTCATACTTTGAACCGCTATATCTCCGAAACGGTTTGACATAAAAATCTGCGCGTGGTCTCATTCGATCCATCGCGTCATTTTCTACAAGATAAGATCATCAAAAAATTTTGTCCACATATTTTTCCCAGAAACCCCAAGAAAAAACTGTTTTTTTATGTGTTTTTAGGGTGTTTTGGGGGGTTTACTCTTAAGGTATTCGTCGGAGGTCAAATCTGAGGTCATATTCTTGTTCCTTGGCCAATTGTACATAAAGTGACCAAATTTTAGCCCTCTACTGTGAAAAGTGTAAAATTAGTCCAAAATACCCAAATTTGTGTTTTTCTCCAAAAGTTAAACTAAAGTTGGCCATATCTCGGGCAATAAATTTTTGCCGGACCTAATATTTTGGCTTTAGAGTCTCCTTTAGTTAGTTATTAAGCCTACCAAAAATAAGGCGAATCGGAGAGGGTCACCGGAAGAAGTGGTCCGTCTTAGTTGATTTTGCTCATAATGATCAAGTTTGAATATGCTTGTTAGCTAATTACCTGGAGACTTAATGCGAACTTGGGTTAGCTGATGATACGAAAAAACAAGTAAGAAGGAATGAGTCTTGTGGGAAGGCCATACTGACGAAGTAAGCGAAAATGAGACAACACCTCTTGGATGGGATGTTTATTGCCCTTGCACTTACAGTTTAAAAAGACGAATTACTGTGTAATTGTTGACATTAGACTATTCGACATTCGACAACAAATAGTTAATTACAAGCAACTAAATGAAACATTACAAAAATAAAAGGAAAAAGACCGCTTGTTGTTGATTGGACTTTGATTTGAGTGTCTTCGAATTTTAATGGCTTCTTAACTGCTGGTGCCAAAACTAAATTAAAGTGGACCAAGTCACAGCATAAAATTTAACAAATGAGAATTGTTTAAACCGTTAATTATGAGGTGACCTTCACACACGTTAGTCAAATTAATACTAGAGCAATTCTATTGAAAATCTTATGTGTTTCTATCACGACTTATCCTCTTGTCAATAATTGTTTGCATTATGTATCGAAAAGTGATCATGCAATTAAGAGCTTTCTTTTACGCAACTGAAAATGGGGCAAGGTATTGGTCACTACATTCCCCCGTACTATGTAATACCCCATGTTAACAAAGATGTGTCCAATGTTTCCCTCCAAAAAACACTAAGATTTTTAGATTAAAGCACTAAACACAGACGCCCCCCCCCCACAAAAAAATAAAAACAAAAATTAACAATCACAGTTTGCCTGAAAAATACTAAAACTCGGAATTAACGAAACAGTGACAGGAAAAGTCACTTGACAGACCGTTTTTGGACACGCTTCATTCTCGTCAGGCTCCGACCCCCAGTATGGATGAGTTTGTGCCGATTTAAACTTGGCATCCAATAAAAGAGTTTCCCACACAAGTGGCACTCGAAGGGCTGGCGCCCGGTGTGGAGGCTCGCATGCTCGTGGAGACTTTCCATGCGAGCGAACTTGTTGCCACAAACGTCGCACTCCAGAAGCTCATCCCCAGTGTGTGTCCCTTTGTGTTTCTCCAGAAGAGCAGCTGAAGAAAATGTCTTCTGGCACACTTTGCAGGCGTGACGCTTTGACTTGTTGCAGTGCCCCACCAGGTGACTGCGCAGGTTAGCCTTGGCTTGGAAGCGCTTGCCACACTCCCCGCACTTGAAAGCGGGCCCCGCCTTCACGGCTCGCCGAGGTCGTAAGGCTTGCTGAGATTCCTGGTGGAGCTCCTGCTGGTGCAGCTCGTGCTGTGGCCTCTGCTGAAGTTCCTGCTGAGGCTCCTGTTGAAGCTCCTGCTGAGGTTCTTGCTGAAGCTCCCGCTGAGGTTCTTGCTGAAGCTCCCGCTGAAGCACCTGTTGAGCTGCTTGCTGAAGCTGCAGTTGAAGCTCCTGCTGAAGCTTCTGCTGAAGCTCCTGATGAAGCTCCTGCTGAAGCTCCTGCTGAGGCCCCTGCTGAGGATTCTGCCGAGGATCCTGCTTGGACGACTCCTGCTGAAGCTCCTGCTGTAGCTCCTGATGAAGCTTCTGCTGAAGCTCCTGCTGAAGCTCCCCCTTGGACTCCTCCTTTGCTGGCCCTGCATCGTCGCCCGCATCGGCCACGGAGAAGGTGCTGGTGAGGTCAAGCTGCGAGGACTCCTCTAGGCCGGGGCAATCACCTGGACGAGAGCGACACAAGGCGATCAAGCGAAGCGTAAGACGTGGAAGAACAAGAGCATTGAGAATGAAAAAGTCATAATCAAGAGTAAAATTTTGGGTGAGGTATTGTTTATTGTCCAAATATGGGTGGAAACCGTTGTATCACACAAAACTGAGTGAGAAAACCTCCCTTGACCCAAATTGAGTGAAAAAAATGATCATCACCCAAACTTAGGTGACAAAGTATACCTCGCCTAAAATTAGACATTGACCAAACTTCTTTAGTCCCAGTGAGGTGGCGGAAGGGGGGCCGTTAATAGCTTTTATTCAGTGTGGGCGAAGCAAAACAGTGACACGATTCGACGCGTCCTAACGGAATGATCCAAACTGTCAGAGCAGGTCCAAGACGATCCTGCCACAGCAGATCCAGGACAATCCTTTAAGTGCAGATTAAGAACTATCCTAACTGCAGAGGAACCTACAAGTGTTAATAAACTATGTTCACTTCAAATCAGTGAATCTCGATACCTCTAAAATACAACGTCCACGCATTTATATAAGGATGAAATTTTGTAACAAGCCCCTATACGAGTAATTTTATAAAGTAAGTGTGGCCTCACGGACTTAAAGAAAAGGCAGTTTGTTTTTTAAGTCTTGTGCAGTTAAGATAGTTCTGAGTTGACACAAAGAGTTAAGATTGTCCTGGATCTGCTCATACAGTTAGGATTGTCTTAGATCTACTCAGGATTGTTCTTCGGACGCGTCGGATTTGACTTTCCGTGCTACACGCCTCTTGCTACAAGTAAATGATCAACCGAAGATCAAACTCAGAAATAGAGGAAAATCTATAAAATGGAAGGGAGAAAACAGCCACGAGTTGAGCGTGGTGACTGTTGCAACAGCCACGGCCCCTCGGCCGGGCAAGAACTTTGAACGAGTTGCAGCAAAATTAGCCGTTTGAGCGACGAACGCGCCGAGAAGAAAAGAGCGCAACATAATTCAAACTGAAAAGGCAAATGGGTGCAGAGATTGGTGCGCTGAATCGACAGGGTACAAGTCGGCGTGCAAGACAGTGTGCCAGCGTCCCGGCCGCCGCGGCGGTCCACGCGTCGCCACTCCACCCACCTTGGTCCCCAGGGCCGGCGTCCTCGTCCGCTCCGCAGTCGCGTCCTCCAGGCGCCTCCAGGTCCTCCGCCTTCACGGAACCTGCAAGCAAGGCAGACTTCAGAAACCAGCCAGCCAAAACGTGCGGCCAACGCCGGGCGAGTCTCACAGCCCTCGCGGCGGGCTGGGCCGCAGGCAGCCGTGGACACGGACACGACCATACAACAAACCGGGCTGTCTTCTTGGAATACACTTACATGCTTGGAAGTAGACAGGTACAAACGCTACTTGGCCAAGCGGACTCAAACGCATGCTCGGCGCCGTATAAGTCCATGATGAGCGTCGGCATTTATATGCGTGCACTTGCCAGGCATGCATTTGTAAGCGTGTACTTAGCCAAGCATGCATTTGAAAGACATTTTTAAGACATTTATATAGACATTTATAAGACTTAGTAGACAGTTAGGATTGTGGTGCAAACTACACAAAAAGCAATGCAAAACACCCGCCCAATAAAACTACCCAAGAAGCGGACATTGACAATTGGCCCCGAGAGAAAAGCACTATGAAGAGCAGACCTCATTACATGACCATTGATAACGTTCAGTCATCACAGGCACAACAGACCGCTCTGCACGCTTATAATTTGTGGTCACTTTATGACAAAAACGTAGATGATATTTTCATCACTTTGAAATGATGACAATCTCATCACAAATTGATGACATTTTCATCAAAGCTCCTATACTTATTGCATGGGCGTGACAACAGCGTCATCAATTTGATTTGATGACATTGTTGTAAGAAAAATTAGCCTTGAAATTGTCCTTAAGTGACGACCCAAATTTTAGTGCACTGTTTCAAAGGATGCTCGAAGAAAGAAGTGCCCAAGGAGGCTAGCGTTCATCCTCTTCTCTCAGAACTCGAGTCCTGCAACAAAATGCAGTTGTCAGACAGAAAAAAAGACAAGAAAACGAAAGCAATAACAAGAAAACAATTGAATCATCGAAACGGCAAAAAGAGTAGTAAAGCAGCGACTAGGTGCACTCGAGGATATGCCGAGAAGTTTGTTGCACGCCGAGTCCAGCAAGACAAACTTTCACAAACAGGGCATCTCACGCCGAAAAACGACGGGGCTGCAACAGGAAAAAACATGAGACGGAGAAAGGTAAAGCAAAAATTTGATGCCCTGCTGGGCTTTGTGGGAATAAAAGTTGCACTGTTCGAAAATTTTTCGTAAATTTACAAAAAAATCACTGGAAATTTTTATAAACGAGAGCTTTGTAAATCGTAGTTGATGAAATATGCCGTATAGTCCAAAAATTCATCGTAAACATCAATTTTCAAGATACTTTGTAAATCCATAAAACATTCCGTTATATTTGTGATAATTGCAAGTAACATGCGCCCTAGCATGCAACAAATAGTGCGGAGAAAAAATGTTCGTCGGAAACTCTAAACCAGGACTTTCTGGCCCGCCGGCAGCCTAACTGCCACAGCTCTGCAAGGGCATTTGAAGCTCGATGACCAGTTGGCTTTGGCAATCTCTACGACGTATTTTGTCAATTTCCCAACTGTTTCATTTGTCTACAAAATGTTTGCTAAAAATATCACAAATATCGTTTTGAGGCTAATACAAGATTTATAGTGTCAAAGTAAGGAATAATCTCCAAATTTCAAGACACCTTTTTTAAAGAATATTTTACGAAATGTTTCGTGCTAAAATATGTCGTAAATTAACAAAAATTTCTAGCAGTGTGTGATTAGAGGGAGTGGGGATCGAGAAGAAGCAACAAAGACAGAGCAAGTACATTTCCCAAAAAGAGTCAACCTTTTAATCGCTTTAAGGGGGCTCATACATGTTAAACACACTTTGTAAAAAAATTTTTTTTGATGTAGATGGATTAAGATTTTACAATTTCTGTGTTAAAACCCTTTTAGATAATTGAGTAAGCTTCATTTTGGCTTAAAGGAAAGTGACTTTGGACATTTTTTGGAGATTTAGTCGAAACGTTTAAAATTTTGGTTCTCGTAAGATTTTGTTCGCATACTTGCTCAGATCTGTGGGGAAAAAATCAGGGAGACTCATCCCTAGTAGTGTCATAGAATTGACTACAATGGGCTTTATATCTGCAATAGTTTTCAAGAAAAAAAATAAAAACAATTTTTTGTTAAAAAATTTGTTAAAAAAATTGTTAAAAAATTGTTTTTATTTTTTTTCTTGAAAACTGTTGTAGATATACAGCCCATTGTAGTCAATTCTATGACACTACTAGGGATGAGTCTCCCTGATTTTTTCCCCACAGATCTGAGCAAGTATGCGAACAAAATCTTACGAGAACCAAAATTTTAAACGTTTCGACTAAATCTCCAAAAAATGTCCAAAGTCACTTTCCTTTAAGCCAAAATGAAGCTTACTCAATTATCTAAAAGGGTTTTAACACAGAAATTGTAAAATCTTGATCCGTCTACATCAAAAGAAAATTTTTACAAAGTGTGTTTAACATGTATGAGCCCCCTTAATGCATGCGCGTGTAAGACATTTTGAACAACCAAAATCCAATATCAATGTTAATGTTGTAAAGCACCTTCATGGTACTGGAAACAATTCCAGGCGATTGTGACAGGCATCTTGAAAAGTATACAACCGAATCTTTCATGTGATGAAACAAATTATTTCCCAGACAAATGCAGGTTGTCGCCGTAAATCCTGAAACGAAGACAATGCGAGGGATCGTCGGTGATGCATGTTTCTTGCCACGTTCCTCTCTTCCTGCAACGCCAGAATCCTTTCGACTTTCCATCCACTAGTGATTCTTTTTTTTCTTGTGGGTATTGAGTGCCTGCCTTTGGGCGAACTTTTCTCCACAAACTGCACACTTGTACGGCTTCTCTCCAGAATGAATTCTCTTGTGCACAATAAGATGGCCTTCCTGATTAAATTTCTTCCCGCACTCGTCACACTGGTACGGCTTCTCCCCAGTGTGAGTGCGCTTGTGTGCGATTAGTACATGCTTAACGGAGAACTTCTTCCCGCACTCGCCACACTGGTACGGCTTTTCCCCAGTATGAATCCTCTTGTGCACAGTGAGGTTTGACTGATCACTAAACTTCTTCCCACACTCGTCACACTGGTACGGCTTCTCTCCAGTATGGATCCTTTTGTGCAGAGTGAGGTGTTGGCTAAGAATGAACCTCTTCCCACACTCGTCACACTGGTGCGGCTGCTCCCCAGAATGAATCCTCGTGTGCCTCGTAAGAGTACTTTCCTGACTAAACTTCTTCCCACACTCGTCACACTGGTACGGCTTGTCCCCGGTGTGGATCCGTAAGTGTTTCTTGAGATTTGCAGCCTAAGTCCACTGCTTGCCGCACACTCCGCACGCGTGCCGCCCCGCCTTGGAGTGCCCCGCCAGGTGCTTCCGCAGGTCCGCCTCGGCCCGGAAACTCTTGCCGCACTCCCCGCACTTGTACGCGAGCCGCGCCTTCCCGCCTCGCTGCCGCCGCGAGGCCTGCTCCACCTGCCCCGCACCGCCGGCCGGGCCAGCCAGCGAGAAGGTGCCGCTGATGACCAGCTGCGGGGTCTCCGCCGGGACGGGGCCTGCAACACCGAGTGGGAAGCAGGACTGTCTAACGTAGGACAGACCGAGGTGCCAATGCTGAAGAGAAAGGCAACCAGACACGGCAGGAACAGTTTATTTCAACTCAATCAGGAAAGGGGCTTGTCTGGCACTCTCGGGTGAAAATGGTCACAATCCGTTTATTTCAGTTAAATAAACGTCGCCGTTCGCGGCATTTCCGACTCACCCCCGAAGACTCCACTCACCTTCGCCTCCAGAGTCGCCGTCCGCTCCGCAGTGCGGCCCTTCAGACACGGGGGCCTCCAAGTCCTCGCCCTCCACGGCGCCTGCAAGCAACACCGCGTTAACCTTTCCAATCCACTGGGAGAGACTCGCGACAAGAATCACTGAGCAACGGCTCATTTGAACTAAACTTGGTCTCTGGGTTCTTACATCAGTACGAACAGCAGAAAACCCCCGGGGGCGAGATCTGACCAAAACCCTATTTCTGGCAGAGGCTCACGACCACCCAAAATGGTTTGTTTCGATGGTTTGGGCCTTGATGGGCATGGGGAACAAAGTGGTCGAAAAAAGACCCAAACTTGGTTGGACGATGTGAACTTCCGGGGATCGTGCACAGACGACTCAGCACAGCACTGCTGTGTGACGGTGCCAATGTGAGTCGTGGCATGTCACAATGATGTCACGTTTGGCCCTAAAACGGTATAACGTGCACGACCAGGGTTGTTAACGTGAATTTCGCACATTTATATTTAAAAAAATTGTTCAAATTCATTTTAAATATTACTTTTAGTCTCTTGGTTGGAATAGAATCAGGAAAGTTCAAATCTTCTATAGCGGAACTTTGACGGCTGCTGGGGACTGTGTGGATGCAGTACGTTACAAAATTATCAAATTTAACTGGATTTTAAGTGTGGTGTCAATTACAAAACAGTTTAGTAAAATCTACCAGAATTTTTAACTAGATGGCTGGTAAATGTTACCACACCCATACTGGTAGATGCAACTAAAAATCGAGTGAAAATGACTAGAATTCTAGTCATATCAACTAATGCTCGTTTAACCAGGATCCGTGTGGTGAATTTAACTACACTTTTTTTTTCAGTGTAGGAAACTTTTCATTTCGATGGAATTTTTGACGATATTTATTGCCTTTAGTACACGGTAAAAACGGTTCCTGGTTTTCCCAGGAACCCCCTGGAAATCGCCTACGTCTTCGCCATGGGGCTGCTGGGAAAAGCAGGTACCGGTTTTATCGTGTAGGACGAGAAATCAAAATTGACGCCGTTATTTTTGACTTCTCGTCCTTCTAGGCCCATTAGTATCAAATTATTCATGGAACTAAAAATGTTCCTAAAACATTGGAAGTTTTCTAAATAGATTGCAACAAAAAGACCCAATGTAGAAATTTCAGTTCATTGTGACAAAATGTGTTTGAAAAAATGTGCGCAATTTATTGATTAACCTTAACAACCCTCAAGACTGCTACGCGTAATACGGGGCTTGCTCTACAAATTGAAGAGCGGACATTGTATGCTCTAACTAGAGCACGCCTGCAAGCACGCTCTAGCTAGCGCATGCCTGCCACTCCACCCACCTTGGTCCCCAGGGCCGGCGTCCTCGTCCGCTCCGCAGTCGCGTCCTCCAGGCGCCTCCAGGTCCTCCGCCTTCACGGAACCTGCAAGCAAGGCGGACTTCAGAAACCAGCCAGCCAAAACGTGCGGCCAACGCCGGGCGAGTCTCCCAGTCCTCGCGGCGGGCTGGGCCGCAGGAAGCCGCGGACATGGACAAGGACAGGACTATGCAACAAACCGGGCTGTCCTCTTAGTACTACCACTTGCAAAAGAAAGCGACCTCCCGGCCGGGCTCGTCGCTACCCCGCACTCAGGTAGCTGCTGGAGATCCCATAGCCGCCTGGACGTGGGGTAGTGCCGGGCCCGGCCGGGAGGTCGCTTTCTTTTGCAAGTGGTAGTACACACTGACATGCTTGGAAGTAGACAACTACAAACGCTACTTGGCCAAGTACACACTTTACAAACGCAGGCTTGGTGCCGTGTAACTTGATGTTAGGCGTAGGCATTTGTAAGTACGTACTTGCCAAGCATGCATTTGTAAGTGTGTACTTTGCCGAGTATGCGTGTACGGTGTGGACTAGGAAGCATGCATTTGAAAGTGTGTATGAAGAAGACAGTTTGATTCGTGGTGCAAACTAACACAAGAAGCCATGCAAAAAACCTGCCCCATAAACTACCCGAGAAGCAGACATTAAAAATTTCCCCCAATAGAAAAGCGCCATGAAAAGCAGACCAAATCACGTGGCCATTAATAACGTTTTGTCATCAGAGCCACTCAAGACAGCTCTGCACCGTAAACACCAGGCAGTGCATGCTCGCAAAAGACAGATAAAAAAAAAGTCGAAGGAAGCCAGCGTTTAGTCTCTCCTCTCAGAGCCCCAGTCCTGCAACAAAATACAGTAGACAGAGAAAAATCAGAAAAAGACATGAAAACGAAAGCAGTAACGAGAAAACAATAGCATCATCGAAAAGGCAGAGAGAGATTCCGAGTACTGCAGACTAGATGTACTCGAAGATACGTCGAAGTTGGTTGCACACAGGGTGCAGCCAGACGAAAGCTCGGAAACAGGGCATCTCACGCAGATAATGCCGGGGCTGTGACAGGAAAAGGCGTGAGTCGGAGAATAAGCAAAAATTGAGGTCCTGCTCAGCATTAAGGAAATAAAAATTGTGATTTGAAGGAGTGGGGATCGAAAAGACGCAACAAAGACAGAGCAAGCACATTTATCCAATAAGATTCAACATTTTAATCACTTATTTACAATTAACACAAAAGTGAATGCTTGCGCCCGTAAGACATTAGAACAAACAATAACCAATGTCCATATTTTTGTTCGAAGGCAGCTTTATGGCCGGTACAGGAATCCATTCCAGGCGATTGTGTCGGGTGTGAAACGGAATCTTTGTTACGAACAATAAAATTAATTTCCAGAAAAAAAGCATGGTGCCAGCGTGAATCCCCAACGCAGACAGTTTCAAGGGTCGTCGGTGATGCATGTTTCTTGCCACGCGTCTACCTCCCTGCAACTCCAGAAATCTTGCGACTTTCCTTCCACTAGTGATTCTGTGTTTTTTTGTGATAATGAAGAGTCTGCCTCTGAGCGAACTTCTTTCCACAGACTGCACACTTGTAAGGTTTCTCCCCAGTGTGGACCCTCTTGTGCGCAGTGAGATCCCTGTCCCGGGAAAACTTTTTCCCACACTCTTCACACTCGTATGGCTTCTCCCCGGTATGAATCCTCTTGTGCACAGTCAGATTGCCTTCTCGGTTAAACTTCCTCCCACACTCGTCACACTGGTACGGCCTCTCCCCGGTGTGGATCCTTGCGTGCCTCTCCAGATTCGCAGCCCAAGTCCACTGCTTGCCGCACACTCCGCACGCGTGCCGCCCCGCCTTGGAGTGCCCCGCCAGGTGCTTCCGCAGGTCCGCCTCGGCCCGGAAACTCTTGCCGCACTCCCCGCACTTGGACGCGAGCCGCGCCTTCCCGCCTCGCTGCCGCCGCGAGGCCTGCTCCACCTGCCCCGCACCGCCGGCCGGGCCAGCCAGCGAGAAGGTGCCGCTGATGACCAGCTGCGGGGTCTCCGCCGGGACGGGGCCTGCAACGCCGAGTGAGAAGCAGAACGGTCTAACGTAAGACAGAGCGAGGTGCCAATGCCGGAAAGAAAGACAGACGGACACACGGCAGGATCAATTTATTTGAAGTCAATCACGAAAAGGTTCTTGTCCGGCACTCCCAGGTGAAAATGGTCGCAATCTGTTTCTTTCAGATGAATTTACGTCGCAAGCCGCGGCATTCCTGACTCGTCCCCGAAGACTTCACTCACCTTCGCCTCCAGAGTCGCCGTCCGCTCCGCAGTGCCGCCCTCCAGACTCGGGGGCCTCCAGGTCCTCGCCCTCCACGGCGCCTGCAAGCAACACCGCGTTACTTGGCCGTCCCAATCACTGTCCCAGGGAAGCGCAAACAGTTACAGGCCTCAAGACGCGCAAGAGCACATCGTTTTGGGACAAGAGAAGTCAAGCACGTTAAGGATTGGAACGCACAGGGAAATGCCTTAACGCATTGTTGAGAAGCACCTGAAAGACATGGTCGTAAGCGCAAAGCGATCACTTCGGCAAACGTTGATTGGAATGCGTTCGTTGCACACTCTTAAAAGCCTACGAATCTTTTGCTTCACAACTACGAAGAAAATGAAGACGTTGAAGAATTGCTTCGTATTATGAAGAAATGCTTCGTATTACAAAGGATTTTGCTTCATAGTACGAGGCATTTCTTCGTAGATTTTACAAAGCCTTCATTTTCTTCGAATTACGAAGCCATTCTTCGTAGAGTTTTTTCTGTGCAGAAACTTCGCGTGGTGGCCACCGACCCACGGCGCACAGTAAATAGAAATGACAGAATTTGTGGTGGTCTGAGAGCCCCGAATCGCAAAAATTGACAGATAAATGGATCCGTGGCGGTTATGCATCTGTACCGCCAACGGCAAACTCATTTTGCACACAGGCGACCGAATCCGTGCACTCGCCACGGAATCCGGACAACACTGCGCCGTAAGCGTCAATTGCGATTCGCTCCACCTCGCGACTTTGAGGTGTTTTATTTTGGGAGATAAAGAGTGTAGATGTACCGCGTAAGGAAAAAAATTCCTTTGAAGATTTATCAACGCAAGAAGAAGTAAGCACATGCATCCAAATAGGTAAATAATATCCAAAATAACAAAGGCGCCCGGAGACGCAGAGAGGTTACGTTGGCCAGCGAGACGGTAACCCCATTCCAGTTTCTGTTCCCCAGGGATCCTTAACTTTCCTCATAAGGGCATCATAACGTTAAAGTAAGACCTAAAGTTATTACCCTTAACTTCTGACATTTCAAAAAGGTTAAGTTTTTTTTTTGTGTTTCGAATTTGTGTAGAGATACTTTTGGAAGTACATCCAAAAGTCCGTGCCCTTAACCTGTAGCGAACATTGTCTTACGTTACGTTATGAAAGCAGTGTTAGTTAACTGTTAAGTTAAGGATCCCTGCTGTTCCCACAGTAAAAACTCTTCGAAGAATCGCTTCGTAATACGAAGAAAATGAATGCATTGTAAAATCTACGAAGAAATGCTTCGTATTAGCAAAATCCTTTGTAATACTGTACGAAGCATTCCTTCATAATACGAAGCAATTCTACAAAGCCTTTATTTTCTTCGTAGTTATAAAGCAAATGGATCCATGAAGCGGAAGAAGGGTACAAGTCAAGTTGAATCCGCGCACTTTTGCAAGGCCTTAACCCAGCGGTTCCCAACCCTGGGCACTGTACATCCAACGGCAATACTCTTAGTACCTATTTGGCGATACAATTGAGTATCGCCCATAAAAGGCCTTAAGGAAAAGTATTGCCTTCAAAACGGCGATACACAAAAGTATTGCCAAAATTTGGCGATACTTTGGAGTACTGCCACGATTTGGCAATAAACGTCGAACAAATCAAGGGGACAAGGCCTTTGTATAATGCCGTGGTTTTGGCAATACCCAAAAGTATCGCCAAATTTTGGCGATACTTCTGTGTATCATCGTTCTGAAGGCAATACTTTTCCGTAAGGCCGTTTATTGGCGATACTCAATTGTAACGCCAAAAAATGTACTTTAGTATCGCCTTTGCAATTGCAGTGGAGTCGCGACCCCACTCCAAATCCAGTGGCAAGTTTCCTCGCCACTGGAGCGGCGTCTTTTCCAAAGCCAGTAAAATACAAGACCTGCATCTGTATTTTCAGGTTACGTGTCAATGCCGCTGACCAACTAAAGGGATCCTTAACTTAACAGTTAACTAACACTGCTTTCATAACGTAACGTAAGACAATGTTCGCCCAGTGCTCTCGGGCCATTTCAAAACTATTCAAGTGTTGTTCTGTGGAAGATTTTGAAGAGGGAGCGGCGTGGCGCGGCAGGGCCAGGCTAGGGCTCTGAGGCTAGCTCAAGTCTTCCTGGTTTGAGAATGGACTGAGACCCTTTGCTGTGTCAACCCCTTATCAAGAGAGAGTGACTCAGTGATATCCAGCGTTTTGTGTTGATGTGAGTACCATTTTCCCAGTGTCTCAGGAATCGCTGGCCAAACCAAAGTGATTCAATAGTTGGTCAGCGGCATTGACACGTAACCTGAAAATACAGATGCAGGTCTTGTATTTTACTGGTCCAGTTCTACTTTTCATAGTATAATTGCTGTGATTTGAACTTGGGATCCTAAGCACTGAAAACTATTGCATGCACATTTATTTTTCTGTGAACGGGTATTGCTTTCCAAGCCAAATTATTCCATTTCTTTTGCAGCGCCAAATTTTGGCGTTCTGGTCTGTGGTGCTCTGGGGAATGGAACGCCAAATTTTGGCGCTCTCTGTGGAACGCCAAAATTTGGCGTGGAATCCGGAAACCAGGGATGGGAACGCCAAATTTTGGCGCTTTGGAAAAGACGCCACTCCAGTGGCGAGGAAACTTGCCACTGGATTTGGAGTGGGGGTCGCGAAAAAATTTCGAGGGGTCGCGGCGAGGTGGCTGGGGTCGCCTGGGTCGCGGTGGTTTCCCGGTTAGCCAACACGCCGTGCAATGGCGGGAACAACTTTGCGGCAATACTGCTCCCAAACTAAGGCAGTTAATCGCACTCCGTAACAAAGGCATGCTAAAGGAAGGTCCAAATACCAATGGCCCGTCGAGGGAGGACGAAATACCGCATCGAATCAGACGCAGTGACTGCTTAAATGCCGCAAAGTTGATCAAAACGGTCACAAATGTCTGTGAAAAATCGTGTTTTGGGCCGACTTTACACTGATAAAAATTTTGTCGCAACTTAGCGACACATTTATCGCTAACTTTTTAGCGACAAGATTTGTTGTGGAACGAATGGCTTGTTAAACCTAGAGAGCCTGGGGTGGGAGAGAGTCGTCAACCGAGGTGGTGGGGGGCCAACGCTGATTGGCTGAGTTCCGATGGAGCCGGAGCTGCAGGCCATTCTCTCATGCTGCAGCCTGTGCATGCACACTGGTAAGGTTAGGTCGCAATTATCGAGCAATGATGTGCAGCGCTTTTTGAATGCATTGCTTTACCATGACTGCCAAGGCTTGACTTTTGGCTGTTCCGATCGCCACTACATCGCGTCGGGTCGGTTATGCGCACCTCAGGCAGCATTTTATCCGCTGCTCTGGCTCCATCGGAGCTCAGCCAATGAGCGTCGAGAACGGTTGACGACTCTCTCATAATCCAGGCTCTCTAGTCAAACCGTAGTCGTATTGGAACTAAGGGATAATTTCACAACGACTAAATTGTAATAACGCACCAACAATAACACATCAACGACAAGTATTGAAAGTCCAAAAGGAATTTTGTAATGTCTGCGACAATAAACATAGAGTACTTTTGTCGCTAAATTTATTTTGCATAGTTTTTTTTTACAATAGTAATTTCCCTATGACTTAGAAGAACAAAAGAGATGATTATTCATAATATGCTTTAATTGAGCAGATAATTGCAAAAGATGTTGTTTCCACACAAATTGTATCGTAAAGAGTGATAACAAGAATTTGGTCTTCAACGACAAAATGTCGCTTACTAGACTCAACGACATTTGTTCCGGGTTGGTTCATGATGAAATTCTATGTTTTGGAACGACTAAATTTTCACTCATCTGATTGTTTCTGTACAACCATTTTTTAACAGTGTAAGCATCTACTGCGTCTGATCCGAGGCGGTATTTCGTCCTCCCTCAACGGGCAATTGGTCTTTGGACCTTCCTTTTGCATGCCTTTGTTACGGAAAGCGATTATCTGCCTTAGTTTGGGAGCAGTAATATTGCCGCAAAGTTGATCAAAACACGATTTTTCAAACATTTGTGACCGTTTTGATCAACTTTGAGACAATACTGCTTCCAAACTAAGCCGGATTATCGCACTTTGTATCAAAGGCATGCTAAAGGAGGGGGGTCGCGGAAATTTTTGGCTACAAATTTGGGGTCGCGAACCGAAAAAGGTTGAGAACCGCTGCCTTAACCTTGCAGGTGGGAGAACAGGTTGGGAATGTCATCTAAAAATAGATGCAAGAGGATGGGACTTGTCTCACCACACTTATTTTTGGACCAAATTATCGCTCATGTTCACTTGAAAGACCGATAAGAGGTCACTGAATCAACTCGACTTAACCCCTTCTTCCTGGATGCTTCGTAGGCTTTTAAGAGTGCCCGTGCCTGTTTCAGCGACTACCAAATACAGAATCATTTACTGGCGGTTTCTGTGCCGAAGCGTTACCGATTCTGCTATTGGGTCATTCCATGCCAAGTCAACCAGAGCCAAAGCCATGATGTCACCGATTTGGACCAAAGTTGGTGGATCGCCGCACAGTGGTCTGGGAGACCGATTTAGGCGGACATAATTCAATACTCCGGTAATACCGAAACAAAAATGATAAAACTGCTGTACGTTAAGTTTTATGGGTCGCTGAATCCGATTCTGTAAAAATTTTGAACCAGGGGCGGCTCAGTTTTCTAGAAATGGGGGGTATTTTTTTGATTTTCAAGATATGGCCTTAAAAAGTACAGCACTATGGTTTTGAGGGCCGCTGAGTCTGATTCTGTAAACAGTTTGGACCAGGGGCGGCTCAGTTTTCCAGAAAAGGGGGTATTTTTTTGTTTTTCAAGATATGGCCTTTAAAAGTACAGCTCCTGGGTTTTGAGGGCCGCTGAGTCTGATATTTTGCCAAATTTTGGACCAAGGATTGCTCAGTTTTCCAGAAAACGGAAAAGGGAAATAAAACTCCAAACATACCCCCTGTTTTTTGGAAAACTGAGCCGCTTGTAATCTAAAATTTTTACAGAATCAGACCCAGCGGCACTCAAAACCAAATTACTGTACTTTTTAAGGCCATATCTTGAAAGACAAGAAAAAATACCCCCTTTTTCTGGGAAACTGAGCCGCCCCTGGTCCAAAATTTTTACTGAATCAGACTCAGCGGTCCACAAAACCCTTCCACTAAACTTTTGGAGGCCGTATCTTAAAAACAAAAATCCCCTCTTTTGTGGAAAACTGTGCCGCCCCTGGTTCAAAATTTTTACAGAATCGGATTAAGCGACCCGTTAAACCTAACGTTCAGCAGTTTCATTATTTTTGTCTGAGTATTACCGGAGAATTAAATCATGTCCGCCTAAATCGGTCTGTGCGCCGAGCGCGCGCGTGCCGGCCGGTGTCACATATTGTGCATTCCGTGGTTACGTTGGACCGTGCAGAAATTAGAGTAGCAGATATTAGCAGATGGTTCTTTTTGCATCATTTTCCTGAATATATTGCTGACATTTTAGACCAGAAATGAAAATGAATGAAGCCGAATGAAACTTTCTCGAACTTAGAAAAGTTTAAATTTAACCGTTTGCTCAACTCTTTCTTCGCGAGTCGATAGCGAAACGAAAATTTCGTCGAATCCCAAAAGTGAGTAACCAAATTTATTCGCCAAAGAGCGCTTTTTCACGCTATATCTTTGGAAATTAGCTGTGAACAAATCTCAATTTTGCAGAACTAAATTTGTGGACAACTTTTTCAAGTGAAAATTAGCGTTGGCGCATTCATTAAGTTTGAGGCCCCGTGTGTGAAAAATAAGGTGACCCCTTGCTCTAAAAGTGTTGTTTTTAACTCTCCTAAACTTTATACTAACGGTTAGTGCCGATGTATTTGATAATGGACAGATTATAGAAATGCCCATTTTGTCCGCCTAAATCGGTCTCCCCGACAACTGTGCGCCGTCAATTAGTGTTAAGATCGATGCCCTAAAATGGTTTTGGCCAATTTCCAATACTTCCGGAGATATAGCCATACCTCATTTTTGGCTATTTTGCCAAATGTAAAAACAGTGTTTCACTTAAGTGCCAATATCTTCGCTCCTATGAGACCTAGAGTGGTGATTCTGTGCTTATTCGAAAGGAAATGAAATTTCGCATAAAATGGCGTCGGTTTGGTGTCGATAGATGTGAAACTAGGAAAGTTCACTCTAACGAAGAAACAGTGAACTTTACAGTGTAGTTCCCACCGAACGCCATCTTCGATTTTTGAAATTTATGTCCTGAAGGTCCATTGAGGTCCCTTCTTCATTGTCTTAAAGTATCTCAAGAAGTTCTTGGGTTTTGCGGTTTTTGTAGGGGGGAAAGTAAAACAAAGCACCCAAAAAATGGTGATTTTGCAGTGAAGGACCCGAATTAAGTGACATCAAAAGCAGCCAACCCTATTCATAGACCGCCTGCTCCGTGTACAGGCAGCGACCGATATCTGGGGCCACTCCCTGAAAGGTCGAGTTACTTCACGCTCGAATCCTCGGATTTTAAACATGCACTGCGATTCCAAACGCTATGAGTATAGCACGTATGGTGCAATGCAGCTGACATATCGCACCACACGTGCAATGCGATAGCCATATTGCACCTCACGTGCAATGCATCCCGAAAATGCCGTATGCTAATGGATGGCGATGGGGAGGCATTGCACTTCATGTGCAATGCTTTTGCATTGCACCAATTGACGCTATACTCATAGCGTTTGGATTCTCAGTGTGGCAAATGTAAATTTTGACTACATCATTCGGTTTATCTTGCCCTAATATATCAATGAGGAGTTGGCTAAAAGTATCCCAAACACACTGGTGAGCGGCGAGCTGTTGCCTACAAGGCAACTTATTTCCACAGCTGTTAAGTAACTGCCTAGTATGCAGGAGATGATGCAGGCAGCCGGACACCTGTGTGTTTGGGCTACTAATTGCCTACCTCTCTGGCAACCACTACCACATATCCTTGGTTCCCGACGCGAGTATGACGCAAGCGGTTTTCCTCTGTAAAATTTTCTCCAAGGCTAAGTCTAATTCAAAATCAAGCTGAACGATAAGATCCTCATCGAAGTGAGCACTGCAAGTAACCAAAAGTAAAGTGTACTACACCGCTCTACAAGTACGCTCTGAAAATTAAAAGCTGTTATTAAAAGTTATGGACTTTGAGACGAGGATTTTGAATTATACTCTTACTAGAGTCTTGGTTAAAAATTTATGGTGGAAAGCCGCTTGCGTCGGCAACTGAGGATATGTGGAAGTGGTTGCCAGAAAAGTAGGCAAATAGTAGCCCAAACACATGACAGGTGTGCGGCTGGCTGCGTCCCATCCTGCATACTAGGGCAGTTACTCAACATCTGTGGCAGTGGCGGATCCAGAGGCGGCCTCGGAAAAGGGGGGGGGGGGGTAGAACTTTTTGTTTACTAACAGGGGCAACGACATTTTGAATTAGGAGAAGAATTTCAAGAGGAAAACCGCTTGCGTCATGCTCGCGTTGGCAACTAAGGATATGTGGTAGTGGTTGCCAGAAAAGCAGGCAAATAGTAGCCCAAACACACAGGTGTGCGGCTGCACTGTGAAAATTTGTTGTCACTTTATGACGAAAACGTGGATGACATTTTGATCACTTTGAAATAATGACAATCTCCTCACAAATTGATGACATTTTCATCAAAGCTCCTCTACATATTGCATGGGCGTGGGAACAATATCATTAATTGACTTGATGACATCCTTGTGAGGAACATTAGCCTTGAAATTGTCATCAAGTGATGACTCAAATTTTCACAGTGTGGCTGCATCAGCTCCTGCATACTAGGCAGTTACTCAACAGCTGTGGAAATAAGTTGCCTTGTAGGCAACAGCCCGCCGCTCACCAGTGTGTTTGGGATACTTTTAGCCAATACTCCTCATTGATATATTAGGGCAAGATAAACCGAATGATGTAGTCAAAATTTACATTCGCCATGTTTAAAATCCGAGGATTCGAGCGTGAAGTAACTCGACCTATCAGGGAGTGGCCTCAGATATCGGTCGCTGCCTGTACACGGAGCAGGCGGTCTATGAATAGGGTTGGCTGCCTTTGATGTCACTTAATTCGGGTCCTTCACTGCAAAATCACCATTTTTTGGGTGCACTGTTTTACTTTTCCCCCTACAAAAACCACATAACCCAAGAACTTCTTGAGATACTTTAAGACAATGAAGAAGGGACCTCAATGGACCTTCAGGACAAAAATTTCAAAAATCGAAGATGGCGTTCGGTGGGAACTACACTGTAAAGTTCACTGTTTCTTCGTTAGAGTGAACTTTCCTATTTTCACATCTATCGACAACAAACCGACGCCATGTTGTGCGAAATTTCATTTCCTTTCGAATGAGCACAGAATCACCACTCTAGGTCTCATAGGAGCCAAGATATTGGCACTTAAGTGAAACACTGTTTTTACATTTGGCAAAATAGCCAAAAATGAGGTATGGCTATATCTCCGGAAGTATTGGAAATTGGCCAAAACTATTTTAGGGCATCGATCTTAACACTAATTGACGGCGATCAACCAACTTTGGTCCAAATCGGTGACATCATGGCTTTGGCTCTGGTTGACTTGGCATGGAATGACCCTATTTCAATTTACTGTGCTAAACACAGAAGCTGCTGCACTACGTCGCCACTCCACCCACCTTGGTCCCCAGGGCCGCCGTCCTCGTGCGCTCCGCAGTCGCGTCCTCCAGGCGCCTCCAGGTCCTCCGCCTTCACGGAACCTGCAAGCGGACGGACTTCAGAAACCAGCCAGCGAAAACGCGCGGCCCAGTCCTCGCGGCGGGCTGGCCCGCAGGAAGCCGTGGACGCGGACAGGACCATACAACAAACCGGGCTGTCTTCTTGGTACACACTTAAGTGCTTGAAAGAAGACAGTTACAAACGCTACTTGGCCAAGTACACACTTACAAACGCAGGCTAGGTGCCGCGTAACTTCATGTTAAGCGTAGGCATTTGTAAGTACGTACTTGCCAATGTCAGTGTGTACTTGCCTAGTATGCGTGTACGGTGTGGACTAGGAAGCATACATTTGAAAGTGTGTATGAAGAAGACAGTTTGATTCCTGATGTAAACTACAGAAGAAGCCATGCAAACAACCTGCCCCATAAACTACCCAAGAAGCAGACATTAAAAATTTCCCCCAATAGAAAAGCGCCATGAAAAGCAGACCAAATTACGTGGCCATTAATAATGTTTAGTCAGTCATCAGAGCCACTCAAGACTGCTCTGCACTGTAAACACCAGGCAGTGCATGCTCGCAAAAGGCAGATAAAAATGTCGAAGGAAGCCAGCGTTTATTCTCTCCTCTCAGAGCCCCAGTCCTGCAACAAAATACAGTAGTTAGACAGAAAAATCAGAAAAAGACATGAAAACGAAAGCAGTAACGAGAAAACAATTGCATCATCAAAACGGCAGAAAGAGTTTCTAGAGTACCGGAGACTAGATGTACTCGTAGGTACGTCGAAGTTGGTTGCACACAGGGTGCAGCCAGACGAAAGCTCAGAAACAGGGCATCTCACGCAGATAATGCCGGGGCTGTGACAGGAAAAGGCGTGAGTCGGAGAATAAGCAAAAATTGAGGTCCTGCTCAGCATTAAGGAAATAAAAATCGTGATTTGAAGGAGTGGGGATCGAAAAGAGGCAACAAAGACAGAGCAAGCACATTTATCCAATAAGATTCAGCCTTTTAATTACTTATTTACGATTAACACAACAGAGGATGCTTGCGCCAGTAAGACATCAGAACAACCATTAACCAATGTCCATGTTATAGTATGAAGAAAGCTTCAAGGCCGGTACTAGAATCAATTCCAGGCGATTGTGTCGGGAGTCTTGCAAATTGTGAAACGATATCTTTGTTATGAACAATAAAATTAATTTCCAGGAAAAATCCATGGTGCCGGCGTCAATCCCCAACGCCGACAATTTGAAGAGTCATCGGTAATGCATGTTTCTTTCCACGCGTCTATCCCCCTGTAACGCCGAAAATCATGCGATTTCCCTTCCACTAGTGATTCTGTTTTTCCTTGTGATAATTAAGTGTCTGCCTCTGAGCGAACTTCTTTCCACAGACTGCACATTTGTAGGGTTTCTCCCTAGTATGGACCCTCTTGTGCGCAGTGAGATGACTGCCCCGGGAAAACTTTTTCCCACACTCTTCACACTCGTATGGCTTCTCCCCAGAATGAATCCTGTTGTGCACAATGAGGTTTGACAGGCCATTAAACTTCTTTCCACACTCGACACACTCGTAAGGCTTCTCCCCGGTATGAATCCTCTTGTGCACAGTCAGATTGCCTTCTCGGTTAAACTTCCTCCCACACTCGTCACACTGGTACGGCCTCTCCCCGGTGTGGATCCTTGCGTGCCTCTCCAGATCCGCAGCCTTGGTCCACTGCTTGCCGCACACTCCGCACGCGTGCCGCCCCGCCTTGGAGTGCCCCGCCAGGTGCTTCCGCAGGTCCGCCTCGGCCCGGAAACTCTTGCCGCACTCCCCGCACTTGGACGCGAGCCGCGCCTTCCCGCCTCGCTGCCGCCGCGAGGCCTGCTCCACCTGCCCCGCACCGCCGGCCGGGCCAGCCAGCGAGAAGGTGCCGCTGATGACCAGCTGCGGGGTCTCCGCCGGGACGGGGCCTGCAACGCAGAGTGGGTGCAGAACAGGTTTGAGTTTAAAAAAGTAGCCATTTCTGGGGACCCTCTCCTCCCAGAACGTAACATCACGTTTAAACGAATGTGACAAAACATCACGTTCTATTTAGCATTGGATCACATTCGTTTCAAAGTGAATAAGCTGAGTTGTGGCTGATTCACGTCAAAAAGAATGTGACACAATGCTTAAACGAGCGTCAGCCTTCCGAGTCACGCAGGGTACCACACTACATGCACAATACTCGCAGTAAAAATTTCCCATCCAATGCCACTGGGCCAACAGCACATGCACTCCCAATGAGTAATTCCATGCAGCCATAATTCTATGATTCTCAGTATATTTTCATAACAAATCTAATACTGAGAAAATCGTTCGTAACACGTATGAAAAATTTAAGTCACCCAAAACCCTTCGATACAAGTTGCTACCTTCGCTGCGCTGTCATATTACTGAGCTTTCAGATCGCGTTACGAGGTAAAGGTGGACCAGGATCGTGAGAGTGTGCTACTGCACAGAACTACTCACTGACCGGCGCATGTTTGAACTGACAGCAAGCGTCACCATGTGCACATGGTCTATTTACCAAGCATGGAGATGACACTGTAAATCCAAAGGTGGTACTTTAAAAACCCTTTTATGACGATACCATTGAGTGTCCCCAACTCCTAACAAACGGTCATACGCAAAAGTCTTGCCTTCAAAACGGCGATACACCCAGAAGTATCGGCTAACTTTGGCGATACTTCTGTATTGCCTTTTGGAAGGCAAGATTTTGCGGCAAGGCCGGTTATTGGCGATACTCAATGATATCTGTAAAAAAGAAACTAAAATATCGCCCTTGCATTTGAAGTGCAGTTCGCAGTGCGAGGAAAGGACCGCCCCTTATCACGATGCTCCGATCCTACAACACCAAAAAATTGTTACACCAGACGCATGAGACAAGGCAGCCTAGTGACGCCGGACAGGCAGTCAGATTGGAGTCGGAGAAGGGCTTCGAGGACCACGTGAATGCCCTTCAATCCTGCAACAACAGAGATGTTCCGTTTAACGGATGAAGCAAAGTTAAATTGGAGGCGCGAGACAAGAACATGCAAACAAATCGAGATCAAGAATGGGCTCCGGAACTGCATGTAGGGGCCTACGGGGATTCGCAATTAAAAAGATTAACATCTCACTTAATTATGAACTTGCAAGTTTGATGTCAGCTGATTTTAGAAAAACATAGCTACTACAGATCCATAAGCAAACTGAAACTGGACTTATTCTGCACTTTGCTCTTACCAAAAACTGCAGTTCAGGAACTGTAGTTTTGGCACTATAGTTTAAACTGTAGTTTCACTATAGATCCTTCCACCCGGGAGATGTATTCGCCTTCTTATTGTCCAAGACGCTATTTATGTATTGGCACTCCCTACCAGTAATTGTGCCCTAATGTCTGTCCCTTGCTTTAGAACCCTTTCACCCTTTTAGAACCCGTCACAAAGCGGCAGGGACATCAAATTGTAACATTTCTGTAGAATGACCCGTTAACAAATGAGCAGCTGGAGAGCAAAATACAAAAACCTCAATGACTTTCGTCGAACATAATTAGTAGACAATACTTGGTCGGAGAATTTGCCGCGTCACTTTTGACTCTAAAATCAGTTTCGGTGCTTGCCATATATCATTTACAAAGAAGCATGGGAGAAGGTAGTAATTATTCTAAACTTCGTAACAAGCCCAGACCACTACACTCATTATAATGAAACTTGCTATTCCCCAGGAAGTGTTCGGTAGGTAGTGCCTTTCTCGTGCAAAATTATTACAAGGTAGGTGTACGCCAGACAGTGGCTTATCGTAACAGGCTTCGCGATGGTGCGCCGGTTCCGACAATCCACGCCTGGCGCTTACACCTGCCTTGACCTACGTCGCTGGCCTGCCTTCGTCAGACTGCTCTCTCGCCACACATCGCCACACTAAAAAACCTGATCGCACGTCGAAGTAGCGTTCGGTTCTAGCTTTTCTGCTGAGAGCCATTCAGGAGTAGAATCGAGTACACTGTGAGAAAAAAGGCCGGAACATGACTGGTCAATTGCCTGGAACGTTCCGTACCTTTTTTCCGTACCCATTTACATGGGTTCATATGGAGCAAGTACGGAACGTTCCGTACTTTTCTCCGTACCTCCGTACGATATTTTTCTGTACAATTTCCGTACAAAAGTACGGAATTTTATACAGTGTAGTACGGACACACACACAGAGGAAAAACTTTTCAACCCCACCCGAGATACGGGCTTCGCTATCGCTCAGCCAAAAACAAACATTTTTGGCATAAGTGGCCGTTACGTATCGTCAAAATCGCAATTCCGAACTCCGCATCAACTGAACTCTGGATCACTTAAGCAAATTACTGCTAAGTCCCATACAAAGTACGTGGGAATTTTGCCTTTTCTGTGAGACAAAATGGAGCGTTGCAGGCTTGAGGATTTTCTTTCTGGGCGTACTGAACAAAAGTTTCACAGGAACAGTAGTTCGGACGAACTCATTTTCACGGAATTCGGAGCCTGAAAATGTAGGTTTCAATGAGAACCACCCATTAACGCGCAGTTAGTGCGTGATAATGCTACTTATTTCGCGAAGATACGCCCGTTGCTCGCCAGGCGGGCCCAACTCAATAAGAGAGGGTGCTCTGCAAACCAAGGTGTGTACATAGCGCACTCTTATCAGAGCATGCTTCCAAGCACATTCCTAATTAACACTACTAGCAGGAGCTCAGGTGAGGAACAAGAACAACATATACCGGAAACAGCTGCCAAATAACGCTTATTTATTGATGACGAATGTTTATTCTCCACCCAGAAATTAAAGAAAGCTTAATTTATGATAGGATTTGATTTGAACCTACGTAAAACCCCAAAACAGGCCGATTTCTTGAACTGCTTCCGGTCCGTGTTCCTCTTCTTGTTCTTCACTTCAGGCCCTGATTGAAGAGACTATTTCAGCATACTTGCGAGGCACACGCTAAATAAGAGTGTACCTGGCATGTACACGGTAAAAAAGAGTGTGCCTGCCAAGTACACGCCAAAATACACTACATTAGTCTCATCTAAAAGCATGGACGTCAGTTCAAGTGAGCTTGCAGTAACACTCCACTGTAGGGTAAGGTTACAAAACATGGATCACTTTTTAAATAATCTTCTCTAGATCGGAATTAAGTATGGGTTGACTACTATTTTTGAATCTAATATTGATGCTTACCTTACTGGTCATATGGCTACCAAAAATGGTACCTCTAACTCGAATACTTTGGAAGTTGTGAGGACAAGAAAATTTGGCTATTTTTGCTAGGTTAGGGTGCTCCAGTCATGGATCACCCCACCAGCGTACGGACACATAGCAATGTAGTCGCAAAATATCAAAGTAGTCTGTCCAAAGTGCACGATGAAAAATTTTGAAGTGACTGCGGTGATTGCTTGGCCCAGAATCAGGGGTGCAAAAACCACCTTTTTGAACGCCCTTTTTCCATCGATCTTCGGGGGCCTGTTTATGGTGTCTTTCTAAACGCAACCCTGCAGAGTAGAGAGACGCAGTTACAAACTAGTCAGCTTCATATCGAACAGTCAAAGGGTCAGACCTGGTCTTTAGTTATAGACCCCCAAACAGAAATGATCCATGTTCGGCACTTTACCCTAGTGTGAACACTCAGGCACACTCTAATTTAGCGAGAAACTGGCAAGTATGCTGTAAATGAGAGTACGCTTGGAAGCATGCTCCAACAAGAGTGTGTTGCACCTCCCTCTACATTACCCGCTCGAAAAGATGAGATCCAACATGAGGGAATCCTTTGGACGAGGGGGAAATCACTCGCGTAATAGTCGGGTCACCGATTCCTAGTATTGCGCGTAATGGTAATAGTGTAATAGCCATTTTTTTTACAAAAATCCTCTATTCAGGGACTGATTTCAGCCTAAATATGGATAATTTCAAGCGTAATAAGCCTTCTTTAATAGCGTAATAGAACGTAATAGGGAGTAGTCGGGTCACATTTTTAAGAGTGATTACCCCCTCGCCTTTGGACCTCCACGAACCTCTCCATCCCATTGGAACGAGTCAGCTGTGCTCAACAGGGTCACAGAGCAGTTTAGAAAACAGTAACATGATCACAGCGGAGTTACCACTTGGTTTCACAGAGCGAAGAAAGAGTAACCAAAACCGAAGTCAGATATACGTTACAGTTTCTATGAGAAATGTAAGCGGGGCGGGTGAGGTCAGGGGCTCATCCGCAGCGTATGTTTCACTTAGAAACTGACATTTCTGAATTCCCGGTTCAGTTCTTCTTGACATACCCTACTGTTCCCCGTTGGAGACGCGCAGCGCTGACAAGAGCATATCAATCGCGATGAAAAACCTCGTGTCAGGAGTCATGAGCCGACGCGTATCAATACGGCACTTTAATACGGTACTTGAATGAATTTTGAAACTGAGGAAGAACAAATTTGTTCTTCCGTTTTCAGATAAATTGGGATACCCTCTTCAGTGGGGAAAGGGGGTATCGAACCCCACCCCAACGCTGCGGTACGGGGACGCGGGGTCAGAGCCTGCGTCACATAGCACTAAGCACTTTTCAAATGAGTAAGCAGCAACCTGCCAAATAGGGTACTCGAAAGAATCCTGAGACGGAAGAAGAAGAACAAAAGTAAGCCTTAGAAACGGCTTCAGCGCACGCGCAGAAGCTATTTTCAGAGCTTACTTTTGTTCTTCCGTTTCAATAATCATTGGAGTACCCTATTCCATAATTGCCGTCGAGATTGCGCACCCAGATATTAGTACATAATATGTATGTTGCCGCTTCGACTGTCAGTAGCCGAGAAGTGAAGAACAAGAGGGTAAACAAAGGAGGAAATTGCGACTCGGCCTCACCCAACCGTTCGTTTTTAGAAGCGGCACTCCTTCAATATCTATTTGGCAAGTGCCAAAAATACTCATTGACTAAGGAAAGAAACGATTTTGTGAGCACTTCACCCGCAAACTAAAATTACCATATTTACCCAGTCCACTCCATTTCTGGTTTCGTGATTCTTCAAGTCCTTCAGTCGGAGACGACTAGAACTGTCTATAGGAGCCGTCCCTTAATTAGTTCTTTGTCACTTTAAGGGGGTAGCACACTACGCAAGGTAAAAAAATACCGTGTTTGGGAAAATTTTTTGCGGACGCATGACATACAGGGCGCCAGAACTGGTCATGGGATCTTTTCATACTGTAACTAAGGATCAAAATCACAAATTTTATAAGGTGTCTTGAGCAGCTGTTGCGAGTTCGTCGAATAACGCTTAATCACTGCATAAAATACACAGGTCGTTGGTTTGCGCGATTTGGACCAAACGGTGGGACCTGAAGGGTCCAAATTTGGTGTGGACCATCTGAATACATGTCATTCTGGTGTGAACTACGGAAAATTTTTTGGAACAACTAATAGTACCTCAAACACGGCAAAATGACAAATTCTGAAAACAGCATTTTTTTTTAGCCTACTTTCTTCCAAAATACTTCAGTTTAAATATAGTAAACCAGAATTGATCGCAATTATTTTAGTTCACACCAGAATGACGGGTCTCATTATTGTGCGAAATCTCGTCCAAATCAGACGAAAATTGCGGTCTGTATCACACAAACCGTGTTATTTTTGCACTGGTTTGGAATAATTCGTGGAAATTGTAATTGCTGCCTCCAACTGCGCTCCATACGTGTGATTTTGGTCCGAAATGAAAGTTAAATAAGATCCAATAGTCAGTTTTGGCGTACCTCACCTCCTCTACCCGCAAATAGTTTTCCTAAACACACAATTTTTTAAATCTTGCTAAGTGTACTACCCCCTTAAGACCCTGTCCCCCTATGTTACGCTGGACCAGACCCCCGCCCCCTTTCGTGAGCTTAGCGTAACGCTATATTTCTCAGGTAACCATTTTCTTTCACCTTATTTACTCTTCGTACTTCTGTAATGATGCTAACATATTTTGTGTACATAGCGTAACGTTGCCCTGACTCGGACTCCCCGTCGCCCCACCGCAGCCTCACACAGAACGATCTGTCCTTACAGGAACGTCACGTAAAAGCTGACTCCCTTACGTTACGCAGTTTGCGGCACCTTTTGACCCCCCCCCTCACAATATAACGTGTTACGCAGGCCTAGACCCCCCCTCAATTTCGCCCACATACTACACTCAAAATCTCACAGCTTAACGCAATTAATACCCTTATGACCGATTAAATTCCTAGAATGCGCTATGGAATTAAATGTGCTTACGCTGAATCGAACCTCCACATACCGCAGTGCTTAGAGACTGCCCCCTGATCCGGGATTATGTACCACAACCCTAAACCACTCCCTTCCTGCAGCAGAAGAGGAAGAGACTTACCCAATGGACGCAAGAGTCACGTGACAGCGACAGCTGGCAGTGTCAGCGCTCGCATTGCGCTGTCGCCGGCCGCTGGGATCGTCAGGCGAAACCGGTGGAGGCCGCGACAATCCCGGACGTGTTTGAATCTCCAGGACTGGAACGCGGTGCTGGGCCCCACTAATAGGGTACTTTCGTAGATCCTAAACCGGAAGCAAGCAGACCAGCAGACGCCAAATTGGTCGGAAACTAACCTCTCTTCGGATCCAAAACTAAAGCCGAGCTGTACAAGTATTGCTCGCGTAACACATATGCACTGCAAACAAGTATCAAACGACGGTATATGTTCAAGTGTGGCCGATACGTTTGACGAACGTCTCTTTCCCATGTCAAGTTTGGATCCACTTCCGCCAACATGGCGTCCGTGTGCTTCCGGTTCAGGGATCTACGAAAGTACCCTATTGATCCCTCGTTCCGAGAGCAATAGGGTACTCCAGTGAATCCTGAAACGGAAGAAGAGGGTCAAAAGTAAGCCCCTAACACAGCTGCTGCGCATGCGCTGACGTTCCCCCACCACCCGGTACGCATGCGCAGAAGCTGTGTTCAGGGCTTAAGGCTCGTATGCGCAGGAAATTCGTAATGCGTAGCGGGACCCTTGCGCACGGCCCGTCCACAATCGGCACAGTGCATAATGAACGAAACGTTCAATATTTATTGTCAAGTGACATCCTTAAGATATTTCTAAAAAACCAAACAATCCAGAAGCTCTCCAAGCCCTGTCTACAATTAGCTCTGTTCGGTATGTTTTATGTTTAAAAATTTCTGTTGCCGAAATACATTTGAATGATACTGAAAGATAGAATTTCGAAAACAAACAATTTAGAAAGTATTCAGACAAATCCACAGGTGACCACAACCTTGTAACGACAAGGCAATTTGAGACTCCCTAGGTTATGTCGCTGTGCGTACACGCAGGATATAAAATTGGTTTAAATCCTTGCGCACGGCTTGCGACCGGAACCAGTAGGCTTGCGCACATGCATACGCACTTGCGCACTGCTGCGCTCTGCATTGTAGACGAGCCTTTACAGAGAGAATCCGAACGCTCTGAATGTAGAGTCCATTGGTGCAGTGCAAAAGCATTGCATATGAAATGCAATGCCTCCCCATTCACATGTATTAGCAGAGAGCCGTATCGGGGTGCATCGAACGTAAGGTGCAATATTGCTATGGCATTGCACGAATGACGTGATGTCTCAATGCATTGCACCACACGCGCTATACTCTCAGCGTTGGGAATCTCAGTGTACCTTTGTTCTTCTTCCGTTTCGAGATTCGTAGGAGTACCCCATCCATCGGTGGGGTCACACGTTCCGGTCAAGTCCAATGAAGCGACTCTGAAGTTAAAATCCCATCCGACATTTTGACCGCCTTCGTCGGTCTTCTGGCTCATTGAGCGCCACCACCGCTCTGGACCTTGGGTGCGGGGATGACTCACTGACGCTGCGTCTTCTCCCCGGCTGTGGCCAGTCGTCCCGCGCTTGCGGTTTTACTTTAACTCACGTCCACACTCATCTCAGAAACGTGACATCACTTAGAGACGAACGTGACGTCACGTTCACGTTCGTTTGAGCATAGTGTCACATTCGTTGGGGTGTGAATTAGCCAAATATCAGGTTGTTCACATTCAAAGGCACGTGACATAATGCTAAAACGAACGTGACATTTGGTCACGTTCGTTCCAACGTGATGTCTCGTTCCTGGAATGAGAGTGCAGGCGGTCGGCCAGACGCCAACACTAGTAGAACTCAAGCGTACTTTTACGCCTTTCTTCAAGCGTAGTAGAACTACGCTCGGCTTCACGCGCAGTTCTACATTTCGACTCACTCCCGCCAATCTAAACGCATGGGAGGATTTCTTCTCTACGCTCGACGTCAAGCGTAACGTCATCAAGCGTATATAGTTGTATCCTTGAACGAAGCATATAACTACGCTCCGGTTTTACCAGTGCACCTGCGAGGAGCGAGCACTCCCTCGCCTTCCTCGGCACGGCAGTAGCGGCTGCGTCCCTCCACGCGTGGACGGGCGGCGCATCCACCATCCACGCGGTCCTGCGTTGCGGTGGAACGGTACGCTACTTTGAACGAAGTCTTCGATGTATCGCTTCGTAATGCGACGAAAAGAAAGGTATTATAAAATCACCGAATAAAGTACACCAATGAATCTCAAACCGGAAGACGAAGATCGAATGCAAACCCTACAACAAGGTAGGTGTACCCCGAGATGAAACGCCCATCGGAGAATTGCCGGGGACCACCCGGGTACTCCCCGGGAACACCTAGGGAACCACCGGGGAACTACCGGGGAACTACCGGGGAACACCCGGGGAATACCCGGGGAACACCGGGGGAACACCCGGAGAACACCCGGAGAACACCCGGAGAACACCCGGAGAACACCCGGAGAACTCCCGGAGAACACCCGGGGAACTCCCGGGGAACTCCCGGAGAACACCCGGGGAACTCCCGGGGAACTCAATTTTCGCCGGAAAACCACCGGGGAACCGCCTTGAGCTGCGGAAATGGCCAGGGCAGCGCGCCATACCGATTCTTGGTGATGCGCACGGGTGCGGACTTTGGAGAAGGGCTGGAGTGCTGACGTGCGGCGGCGGCCGAGAATGTGCCTTTGTCACTCTGACTCCACGTTCCGTCCGTTGTTTTGATCGGGCGCCGACTTGGTTGGCACCTTTGGATTCGGAAAGGATCAACACGAACACTGTTCAAACTTTTTAGTTTAAAATTGTAGCTGCTAACTAACTAAGGGCGAGATGAACGGCGCGCACAGC